TTGAATCTTAGGAGCTATAGCAAAGTCAATTTTGTTTATATTCTAAATATAATTCAAAATAAGTAAATTATCTTAAATTATTTTATATAATTTATTAAAGTAATCTTTAATAATAATTAATTTGATTTTTTAAACATGTGCTTTTGACAAAGCTTGAAGAATTTAAAAAAATAGATTAAAATAATTTTTAATAAAACATGCTTATTAGATTTTGTTATCATTATAATTTTTAAAAAAATAATTATAATCATTACTTTTTGCAATACTCATTATACAAGTATTTGTTTTTAACTTTGTTAAATTATAGATTAAATCTTAATTTTTGTATATAGTATAGTAATCTACTAATTATTTTTTTTATAGCTGTTCAATACTATTGTAGAATCAGAATGATTAGATAAATAAGTTTTTTTATAACACATTTTAAAGTTATTTTTACAATACTAAATCTTAATACAACATTTTATATACTAAGTAGTCTAGAACTAACAAGCATTTTAAAAACTAATTAATAGATTTATATATATATTATAATTTTTTTTAATTTTTAAAAAATTAGAATTTATATTATATTTTGTTTTTTTTTGTTTTTTTATTTATTTTTTATTTTTATTTTTTGAACAAAATTTATATAAATTTTTATATTTTAATATTTATAGTTTATTTATATAATAATTGTTTGTAATTATAATTATAATTATAATTATAATTATGATTGTTTGCAATTACAATAATAGTTATAATTATCTGCAACTATAATTATAGTTATGATTATTTGCAATCATAATTATAATTATAATTGTTTGCAATTATGTTTTTGTTCTATATAAATTACAAAATTTAAAGTTAAATTCAACTAATCTTATAATATTAGCAAATTGTATTAATTTTTAACCAAATTTATAATTTTAAACAAATAATATTTCTTTAAAATAAATCAAATAAAATTTATTAATAACTTTCTTTAACATATTAAAAATTTATATAGATGTAGTAATTTAGTAAAGTAAATAAGTAGTTAATACTTAATTGCTAAATTGAGTATTCAAATTCTATTAATAATAAAAATTTAAATAATTACTTATATAATACTTATATTATAACAACTATTTCTAATAATTAAATTAAGATATCTGTATTGGCAGTTGTATTAGCATAACTGACAAGTTATAAGGCATCTATATAATTAGTTATATAAAGGAATACAAACTGGCATTATGCAGTGCAAACTCTAGATAAGTTCTTGTGATTATATAAATTTGTTAAAATTAGAAAAAAAATCTATTTGAAAAGAACTAAGTAGAGAAATAGTACCAATCTTCAATGATGCTACTGTAAATACTAGATCTAGAAAACAGATACTAATAACAAAATATTTAAATAGACAAGAACCTTTGAGTAAGATACTACCAACCAGATTGCCAGAATAAACTAGAAAAAAAAGATATCAGACTGATTTAATATACTAATAAACTGATTATAATTCTATATAAACTATTTGGATTAAGAGTCTAAAGAACCAATAAAAATATATCAAAATACTAGAAATATGCTATAAAATAGATGCTAAAGTTTGAATAAACTCTACAAGAGTACCATAATTAAATAAAATAACTTTAACTACAAGTATTAGTTATACTATAATAATATTTAGATCAGTTATAAAAATAAATACAAAAGGCTCTAAAAGATTTACTTTGAGAATAAAATAGTTCTAAGATTAAAATAATGACCTAAGCATAATTTAGTAATATTAATACAAATTCAGGTTCAGAGAGTTTAAAATAGAACACCTAAACAGAGATGTTAGATATAGTAATTAGTGAAAACCATTAGGCAGACTCTTTAAACAAATAATATAGAAAAGTTACATATGTAACCAATTGTATACTTTTTTTATAATGGTTCATAGAATCATATTACCAAAAAAATCATTAATAAAAATCAAAATACTAAAGAAATTACCTTAAATATATATATATAAATATTAAAAATTTGTAATATGTTATACTATTTTAATTTACAAAATGAAAATACAAATAATTTAATTTAAAATTTTTATAATAATTTAATATAAAATATTTATAATATAACTAAGCAGAATACTTATAAAATAATTGAGTTTAAAAAATATATGTATTATATATTTTTGCTTCTTTATGAATAGTTAAAAGACATCATATAATATTTTTTAGATTATATTTTTATGAGCACAATTATTAAGTTAATTAATAATCATTCTATTTATATTAGTTAATACAATTAAATTAAAGATTTATTATTTATTTTGGTAATGCAATTTATTATTTTAAATATCTAATAAAACTAAATTATATGCTTTTAATAGATAGAAAATTCAATAAAGCTGCAGGTAACAGTGATTTTGATGAAGTAAATAAGTATCAATTTACTATGAAAAAATTAGAAATATGTAAATTTGCTACGTTATTTTTTAAAGTTGAAAAATATATTTTAGTTTTTAAAAATTTTATTATAATTGTCATAATTCACATGAAAATGAAGTATCTAATTTATATAAAACTAATTTTATCTTTTTAATATTGGATTTTCATTAAGAAATTAATTAAAGAGGTTTCTCAAGCATTTAAAAATATGTTGTATTCATATTTTATCAAGGTATCAATTTGTTTTAAAAATCTCTAACATTAAAAATAAATAACAAATTGATTAAAAATTTGATATTTTTTAAATTAATTATTAAGGATCTTAATGATCAACTATTACCAAATTGATTGTTAAGAATCTTAACGATTAACTGCCATTAAATATAATTAAGTTGATTATTGAGAATCTTAACAATTAACTACTACTAAGTATAATTACATTTGATATACAAATGTAAAAGTGGTCTTAAGCAACCTTTATCAATAATAATAAAAAAAGTAATTTATATCAATGATTTTTTTTGCCAAAATGATTTATTCAATTTCTGACTAACTAAAAGATTTTGCCTCCAATCAGGTGTACTAACTAAATTAATCACATTAGATCTACATCAGGTCAAATTTGTTGGGATCAGAGTTTAAAATATTAACAAATTTGTGTTCTTTTGAGTATATTATATGTCCTTATGCTTTAAATAAAACGAATTTAGTACCAAAATTTTCATCAAAGTCAATTCCACTCATGTGTTGCAAAATAAAACAAAATTTTCGTTGTGTCGTATGCCTAGAGATGGGCACAATGTAGCATGGCGCTTAATATTGTTACATGATTATAATCACAGCAGATATTAATTTTTACATAAATTATAATATGTGACAATTAAGCACCATGCTGCATAATGCACATATCTATGTATGCCCGATAGTGATGTTATCCGGTGTTTTATTTGGTCGTGTGAAGCTTTTTCTGTGATATTTTGCACAAGTAATTATGTAATGTTGTGTAAAAAAAAAACATCAAGAAAAAATGCCAAATAACAAAATTTAAAATAACACTGCCAAATTGGTACGTATAATATGTAAGGTTGAGGCACGGGTTCATGGGCATGCCTTTTGGACAAACAAACATGCCCATATCGTGTGAACTAATTAATGATTATAATCATATTTGAATTATTTGTTTGAGTTTAGTCAATTACAATGTTTAGGAAGGACATGTCCAGTACATGGAATGGAGAATAGATTAGTTTCACAACCAAAATTTAGTAGACTGACAAAAATTCAGAGTCAAGCTAGGTCAGAATTGATAAAATTCACCTATAATTATCCAAAATTTATAATAATATTAACGAAACCCAGTTTCCGGATATTATTGATTAATCTTAATATAGTGATGAAGTATTCTGTTAACTAGCCAATGTTTTTTTCTAATCGATTGAGCTTTTGGTACCAACTAATCGATTAATCGACTAATCGACTGATAATTACTAGTCGATTGAAAAATTCAATTATTGCGGTTTGCAAAATTACGTGAAATTTGATCATTTAAAAAAAAGTAATCACTAATTTCCGATTTCTTCAACATTTTATTTTGACTTTTAGAGTAGACAAAATTGCGCATCTATTATTTTGTAAAACTTTTATTATTTTTTATAGAAATAAAAGTTGCATATTCATCATTTTGTAATATATTTGCAGAAATAGTTGCGCATTTAAAATATTCAATCAAATTTTTACAAATGATAAATGTGCAAATTTTGTCTAGTCTAAAAGTCAAAAAAAAATAAAAATAATGAAGAAATCGAAAATTATTGATTACTTTTTACATAATTTTGCAAACCACAATAAATAACTAGTTGCAACTAATCGATTCATCGATTTTCTGCAACTTAACGATTAATATTAGTTGTAAATTGAAAGAATATTTAACCAACTAATCGACTAAAAAAATTTTGCCGATTTGTATCACTAATTAAGAGGATTTGATTCTAATATTTTACTTAACAGGAGGAGACATCGATGTTACACGACTGATCCTTCACCTGGTGTGCAACATATAAAAAAATTATTTTATAATACCAGATCATTCCGCTAATACATGCTATGATTATAATCCAACTCCATTTTTATTATAATGAAATGGTGTTGGATTATAATCATTACTATTGTAAAATAATTTTTTTATGTCTTGCACACCGGGTGAAGAATCAGTCGTGTGACATCGACGGTTCCTCCTGTTGTACATCTTGAATGTGTGGCCAGGCTTAGAAATTAGAAGTAAGTAGTTTATATATTAAATTTTCCTAACGAAAACTTTTTTTAGAGCATTAAAGATGTTTTCTTATACAAAATTTTAAAAATTAGGTAATTTTTGACAAAACGAACGTTTATTTTGAATTTTTTTGATCGTGTTACGTTCCCACCTGATCTTAAAATGATTCGTAGTTTAGGAAATCTGCGCCACAAACCTAGCACACATTCAAGGCGTGCCCTCCTGTTGAAAAATGACGTCATGCCTACAGTATTAAAAATGAACTAAAAGCCAATAAGTAAATAGTTATACATCCATACTATTTACTTGAAAAGTTACGAATTCTAATAAAGGCGTCTTTTCAGTTTTTTTATTGTGCATTTCTTCTCAGAAAAGATATCCCGACCACTTTCTGTGAATCAATCTATAAAAGTAGTTTAGAAATTGTATATAATCACGATGTGGTTGCATGGATTGTAGCAAAATACCGTGCAGGAGACGAGTCCTACGGCCACTATATCCTTGCTTTTTTTGAATATTTTGCTTTCTCCTGTTCGATTTTGCCCGTTTCCTATTAACTATTCGACTTGATAATTAAAAATTCTTGTTACTGTTACTTTATCTGGTGTGATTGATACAATATTTTTCAAAAATATGATAACCTAGTGGATTCCAATCGCGTATCAAAGGTAGAGTAAAGTAATCAGATCCGTTATTTGCAAAAATATTAAACATTGTAGTAATCTCCATGTTAAAAAAAAAACTTTTTTTATGAGAAAGTATTAAAAAAAATACAATAAAATACATCAAATATTTACTAGGTTAATATATAAAATTATATGATTATTATGTACCACATGTGTGGTCATGGAAATTGGTCTAATTGGCTGATATAAATCAATCACTTAAGTTTTAGAATGCCTTTTAAAAATGCAGCAATAAATTGTCACAAAAGTTGTTTCTAGATTCATAGAAGTGTTAGACAGTTTACTTTAAAAATAATCTCTAATTTAAAAGGGTTGACTTAATAATGTCTTTCTGAAACAGATAAAATGAAAAAGACTGAATTTTAACATGTACCAAGACAAAAAGTTGTTAACTAACGAATGACTATTTCGTATTTTTAAAAGGCTAAGGTTCGGGTAAGATGGTGGTGAAAGACCCAGATTATATATTAATATATTCTTTATTTTTAAAGCGTATTTAAGTTTTTTTGATCGTAGTTATTGGTACTAGATTTGGTATGTTTTAGTTGTGAACACCGTTCTCATCCCACTCTACGCATTTATCCATCTTCAACATGGATATAATTCATGAGCTTATCAATTCAAATAAAGTTTTTCTTAAAGTTTTTTTTTTCAGTACCGTACCAAATACAGGAGCATGGAAATTTTTTAAATGTATTATAAGTCAAATTGATAATTTAACACTGGATCAACAGTTATAGTCGCCGGTTAAATATTCATAAGCGATTATGGCCATTTAATAAAGTAACGTATTTATTGTTATGTGTACCTTCTAACTTTATGAAGATTGTAGGTAGATTTTGGATTCTGTGGATTTAAATCTATTTACATTGAATTCTGAATCTACTTAAATGAATCTCAAAATAATTTATTATCTGGCATCCGGTTTATTAAACTGATTATACGACTGATTATACGACTGACAGCCGCTTATTATACTAATCTATATCTTCAATTATAAGGATTATTGACATTCGCCTAAATAATGATCTTAGTTTAGCAAACTTCAAGCTCTTTACATTTAGTTGATCTCAGTAATATAATTTCATTCACACTGTGGTTCTATTGTGGGAGTTAATTAATTTACTGCGCATGACAAATGTTTTATTTTGAATTGTCATCTTAAGAACAAGTAACAAATAATGGCAAAAAAATTTAGTATTTCTGTGATATTTGAGACAAATCAGACCGAGTAATGTTCGAAAAACGGGTCGGTAATATTGGTTGGGATTCATATAAAAATTTTAGCAATAACAGTTACGTTGTTTAAAAAATAATTTAGATACCCATACAGCAACAATTATATACCATGCGTATCTTGAGGGTGGATACCGAACATATACTGTATTAATTTCGAATCTTAACACTTAAGCGACAACGGAATTTTATACAACGAAGTTATCACAGAAAAACAATCGAATAAATATTTGCAAAATATGGTATATTTGATGTAATTGCATTTATTAATTAATAATTTTTTTGTGGATATTTTTAAAGTAAATACTAATAATAGATATTCTATTTTAAGATAAGTTTTTGAATATTTTACTAATTAATCTTAAATAAATATCGCGAAGTCTTTATTTTCACCGGGAACCTACTATATTAAAATGTGATGCAAGTTAGTCATCGAACAATCGTTCAATGTCCAGATTACACTACAAGGAGGTTTGCATCGTGTAACAAAAATGAGTTGAAATTGGGAACTTTAATAAAAAAAATTCCAAGTCTACATAAAAAAGGATTCCAACTCATATTTCTTTTCCTGACTTTTAAAAAAAGAAGAATCTTGAAATAATAAAATACATACCGATGATGTATCAGCTATCGATAAAGTGATTCGTATTTTTGGCCTCTTATAGTGAATCCATGATAAATAGAGAAAGGTACCTCGTGAAAATAATTATTGCTACTAAGTGTGAAATGTGTCATATTATCTCTTAAATCGTCTGACCCAGTTTAAAACCAATCTATAAAGCTAGACTATATCACAAACTTTTCGAATTTTTAATAGCTACCAGGTGTAAAATATGTCATCATTGTCTCTTAGATCGTTAAGTACAATGCAAAAAAAATGTATAAACGATCTATGAGACTAGACTATACCACAAACTTTCGCATCATGAGTTTTCAAAAATTACACGAAGATCTGCAACAATGACAACAATGAACTTCTAAAATAAAAATAAAGCTAAATATAAATAAATAAATAAATAAAATAAAATAAAAACAACTACCATAAAACGCTCTTTAAAGTATTCCTTTATATAAAGTACCTGGATGCTTTTTTAGTATATTCTAGAAATACAAATACTCCTTTTGTTAGATTCATTGTCATTATACATATTTCAAAAAAATAATCAAATTCACTATTGTGGTAGTGTCTCAAGAAGATGTATAAAATCTTTCACGAACCAATAATGTCCTTCATGCTATATACCCTTTCGATCATGTGTTGAATGTAAAATATCCAGAGGTTCTTTCTGTGTCGAAAGGTGTGGATCGCTCAACGAATCTTATTCAGGCACAAAGTTTACGAAAAGTTGAAAATGCAATGATCAATCATTCACCCGGTTATGTCAGAACTATCGAAGCGATCTAACTTCTCCAAACATACAACGAACAAGTTAACAAGCGAAAAAAAGGTAAAGATCAAAGGGGTAAGAAAATTAGTGTATATATAGTATTGTATCAAAACAAAAAAACGCGTATTATAACTATGAAAGAAATAATTGGTTAATTTATCAACGTCGATGTTACACAACTGATCCTTCACCCGGTGTGCAACATATAAAAAAATTATTTTACAATACCGCTATCACCATTTTTTATGTACTAGCGGTATTGTAAAAAAAATTTTTTATGTTGTACTTCAAGTGAAGGTTCCTCCTGTTTAATTTATCTGTTATGTAGATCAAACGTGATATGTTGATATATACGAGGATTGATAACAAAGAGTTGGTTTTTATATAGCCAGGGCTTGTTTTTTTTTTTTTTTTTTTTTTTTTACGGTGTTGATATCAACGAGGTTGATGTTGACTGTATTATACTATCAAAGAAACTTTATTCTTTCTTTATTAATTGCAAATTTAACTAGCTTGTTTTGATAATTACTATCTTATACAAGTGATGCATTAACTATACTGCAATACCATACGTATCTATCTATCTCATTAATTTAAACATCTCATTAAAAAAAACATAAGCTCTGTCAATATAAATCTATCTCTTTGTTATCAATTCTCGCATATATCAACATAATTGTCTAATCCAAATAGGTTGAAATTAACGAGGGTTGACTGTATATAACTATTAAGATAACGGTACTAAAAAGTTTTTTTTTTGTTAGATCTAAACAAAATTGAATAGCTTCTGAGGAATTTTATTTAAGAACTTACTATAGATGTTCTTTTAAATTAGCCATCAATACTTACATATAGCTATCACGTATAACTTAAACAATCAAATATTTGTTTTCTTTATAATCAAAACTTAAAAAAAAAAAAAAATGTATATTGCGAAGAAATCTAATCATTTTTGATGAGACAACGCATAAGTTTATAATCTATCCCGACAAACTCGTGTTTAATGATTTGAGTTACTAAATTTTGAGAATGTAAGAGACCAAGTGTACTGTGTTGACAATTAGAGTCCTGTGCTAACCATGTGATTTAAATTAGCGACGGTATAGTTCTTTACCATACAGTTCGCATGTCACTTCGTGGTAATGGTTACCATATTGAAGAACATTTTTATAATCCGCACAACATCTAAATGTTTGAAGAAAATGTCAGTAACCAAATATGAAGTATGATTTATACCATTAAATCATCACTCACAACCAACAAAATTCGTGTTCGCATTTGCAGGTCATATGAGTACATCCATCTATAAAATTAGAATAATTAAATGGATATCATGGATAACTTAAAGTCAAGAACACTCTCTCACCATATTTATAAATTCTAAAACCACATTTTGGACAACATTTAGTCTCACGTTCGATAGCATCACGTGTGGCACCTTCAATGGTACCTTTCTCAATTTCATATTGCTCACAAGTACGGCCTTCATGCCACGGAACATCGTGTGTATAACAAGTCATTTTTTCACACGCAACACAAATCATTATTGGCGAATTTTCTATTATAATTAGGCGTTAGCTGTGCTCATTTTCACTTAAATAAAAAGTTTTTACATATTCCAACCTTTTTCAAAATGCTCTTGTCCCGAACCGCATCTCGGATTTTTGCACCAACGAAAATCTGGTATTTGTCGTATAGCTTCACGAAAACTAAGATGCTCATATCTGAAAAAAATTATATATATATTCAATATATTTCTTAACAGCAAAGAATTGGAAGCAGACAAAATTAATATGTGTATATGATAATTTACCTTTCAACCAAATCTCTACTGGCAACTCGTTTCATGTCCTGATATTCCATCAAAGCCTTACAACCGATCTCAAAACATTCAATTTTAGTAGTGCCCTTTGTGTTCAAGTACTGATTAATATGTTGGTTGATACAAGCGCGACAGACTTTATGATTACATTTGGTGGTAAGGCTCATGAAATCGAAGGTGGCCACATTGTCGCAACAAAGTTTGCATACTTTTGTTAATTTTGGCATGTTTTATTAATGAATTTTTTTCAATAGTTGAACCGATAGAATTGTAATATATAGCTAAATTAAAAATCAAGTGACTAAAAATTCTGTAATATCTCCAAACAGTGGTAGAGTTATAAGATTATACTATGTATACTGTATTATACTACTGCATATTATACAAGTACAAATCCAAATTGCTGTATAATAATTTCAATATGTTCTATATATTTCAACCATTATAATACTATAATATCATGGTATACAATATAAAACAGTAGTATTCTATATTACTATTGTCAAATCTACGAACAGTAACATGTGACTGATATTACTTAGTCTAACTTTTTTTTCAGTAAACGAAATTTAGAAACTCCTGCAATATATTTATGTAATTTTCGGCCGCTTTAAAACTACGCCGGAAGTCAACTTAATTAAACAGAATCTCCGACATTTTACAATAGAATTTGTGCCCTGCTGTTCATAAGAACCAATATTCCATACGATCAATTTTGGTGGATATTTCTAAAGATCCGATTCGAAAATTCCTATCGGGTCTGAGTATGGATTCGGACCCGTGTTTACAGTGTTTTCATAAATTCCGGACATCCCGGTAAAAAAACCATATTTGCAGATTCAACAAGTTTATAATAGAAATTGTTTTTATTGGCTAATTTGCAAGTATTATAATTGGCCAAACTAAAGATTAACACATGTTATTTCTAATATTAAATTACAGCTGCCAATTAAGTAAAAAAATGGTCTTAGACTAATTTTACTATCGGATAAACCCAAACCTTTAACGTTAAAAATATTTTTTTTTTGAAATTAAACACAGCCGTTGATCAATCAAAATCCAACAGCAAATCAAATTCAAGATCAGGCGTAACGTAATACGATCAGGAAAATTCAAAACAAACGGTCGTTTTCCACGCATTTTTCACGTGAAGTTTGAAACATCTTCTTCAAAAAGAAAAACTATTTTTACTAGTTACTTTGCTTTAAAAGGTAAAAAAATTCATAGTTATCATATCGTACTATATATTGATATTGTCAAAACCACTTCTAATAAAAGTTTGTGGAAACTTGATCCCAAACGTTTACATGAAAGTCAAGTGATCAAAAACAACCTGACAAATAATTTCGTTCTCATGTACAATTGCATTTTACTTTACAGGATCAATTATGGGTAAGTTTACTAATTTGTTTTCCGTAGTGTTGGTTCTGATTTTAATTTTTCTTTATGGATCTACAACTTCTTTAGGTCATTCGTCGGAATTACTAGAGTCATTACTTTTGAAAGTAATAGCTGGCATGGGAGGTATGCTATTGAATCTGAACTCTTTTGATAGTGTCTTTTCATTTTGAGAACTTTTACTTATTTGTATTTGGGTTTCTTCTAATTTTTTACTTAAAATATTAAGATCTTTCTTCAGGCCTGGAGGTTCATCAAAATTTTCATCACGTGTGTCTACTTTTTTAGACTTTAAGAATTCATATACTCTTGATTTATGAAAAGATCAAAGGATTCGAATAAATGTTCGTTAGTATAGAATTCTTTCAATGACTTTAAAGTTTTATTAAGGTTAATTGATTTTGATTTACATTATTTTTTTATATAGGTTAGGGCTGATTTTGCGGATGTTGGTGATTTTTTATTAGAATTTACTGGACTATACCAAATGGATGATTCTTGGGTTTATGTTAATAGGCCAGGGTAAGTATGCCATTTATTATCTCCTTATTAATTTGTTGTGCTGACAATGTTTTTTAACATTAAATGCACATCATTAGTGCCCTTTAATATTGAGTTCCATCCCATTCAAGATCACTATTTGAATACACTAGCTATGTTAAATTTATTAGCGACGATTTAAACATTGGAATCAGAAATTGGCACAAAAGTTTTGACAATAACAACGATGATAACGATGACAAAATTAACAATAATAGTGATATTTATACGAACTGGCAATAGTCTCCATTCGATAAAAATGAACAGGATCACGTTATAACCGAACTTTTTAAAAACAATAATATCACTACTAGTGTTTCAAGCTGATTAAATTTTTACGGCTAGGCTAACTAAGCAGCTGACTTGATCAGACTAGAACACTACCCTAACTTTCATAGATATTTCTAACAATAATCTTGGTGAGTTTGGTAGTGTGATCTTTGCTGGCATACTTTGTATAAATATTAATTTTATTGAAAAGTAAAGAAAATAACATCAAGAGAAATCGGAAGTGCACTTTGCACGACAGGTCTTTTACGTCACTCTTCCTAAAAGGCAATAAATTGGTAACAAAGAAGAATTGCATTAGTAGAAGCTCTTATAACATACATTTCTTTAACTATAGCCATAATATAATTTCCTATAAAGGGGCAGAATTATTGGCTGATGCACTTGGCAGGAATATGATGTTGTTCTCTTTGGTTCTTGATTGCAAATGCTATCGAAATTTATGTTCTTTATTTATTCAAAAAAAACGTTGGTTTTTACAATTTCGTCTTTAAATTTTAATTTCGAGTTTTAGGGTCCAAAATAATTTCATTCACATGTATATTCTTGACTATAATTTTATTTTCTTCAAAGGTGCAAAAGCACTTTATAAAAATACCTCTTTAATGTCTCTAGATATTACATTAAATAATATTCGTATTATCGGAGGGCAAGAATTTGCCAAAGCACTTTATAAAAATACTTGAAATTTTATACTATAATAATGAAACTAGTTGTAATTAAATAATGAATTAGAATTTTAATCAATTTTATAATAAACTAGAACATGATCATGCGAGCGGCTTCGCTGTCTATAATATGTTAAAGATAGTAAATTTGCTTGTTTTATTCCTTTATTTTGAAAAGAAAATTTTTCTTAATCTTTTCCATCATTAGATGCCCATCTTGAATTTAATGCACCAATTTGGACCTCTCCAGGGCCAAAGTTGACGCATTAAATTTAAAGTATTTCCTTTTCGTCATTAGATGTTTCATCTTGAATTTAATGCATCAATATAAAATATTAGTTATATATATTTTTTAATCCAGTCAATCTATATTCGATCATATCGAACTTTTTTATTAGTGTCTTATATTACTGTATATTCGAAAATTTTTTTTCGCTAAGACTTGTTGGTTGGCAAGAATAGTCTTCTCCATAAATTTTTGTACAGACTAAACACACCAAACATACTGGTCATGCATTAAACTAAAGACTTTATATGTGAATCACGCCACCAAATCAGAGAGATCAAATCTCTACATGGCGAATCTCGGATTGGATCTATGGAACACTAATACGAACAAGTCCGTTTATGTTGGGGATCATGTCAAAATTAATCAATGCATATGTGGTCATGAATAAGGTTCATTAGAGGATGTGTAGTTTTTTAAATTAATTACTAACCACCTATAGGGAAACTTATATTAGAACGCAAAAGGTAGTTTCTTATATTGTTGACTAATTTTCTGTCAATTACACGTAATAGTGTCACTTCATGATAATGCTGAGGTACGTAGTTAATTCTCATTGTAGACAAATATATAAGTGATGCAAATGAAAATCCTATAGGTGTTATAAATAAAAAGAATTTCTTAATAAAATTCTATGAAATCTTCTTTCGAGTGAATTATTCAAACTACAAAGTAATTTTAAAAAAAAATTCGCAGTCATTATGATTCTGTTTGTTATCTTACACTCAGGAGAAAAAATCACTCTTGTAGTACGCATAGATGACACTGTTGAAAGCATCAAACAACAAATTCAGAAACTTAAAAGTATAATTTTCTTGTGAAACCAAAAATAAAATACTTTTTGTTGATTTTCATTCTAATACACGTTTAATAGGCATCCCCGTGAATAGTCAAAGACTTTTTTACTTGACCAGAGAATTATGTAACGAGGGTACTCTGGAAGATTATGGTTTCCAGAAGGAGGGGGTAATGTTTTTATCGTTATATATGAATATATTCGTAGTCATGTTAGATGGAAAAACAATTCCTTTTAGAGTATCTGAATGTGACACTGTTAAAAGTGTTAAACAAAAGATTCATGATCGTGAAGGTATGTATAATCTTAGTTTGGGGTACATTTTTTGGTCGCTCATTCTAAAATTTGTTTAAATAGGAATCCCTGTTCATGAACAAAGGCTTGCTTACACAACCAAAGAACTAGTAGACAATGAAAAGAAGCTGGCAGACTATAATGTTCAGGATAATGGTACTATGTATTTGGCTTTGAGATTAAGTGGCGGATGTTGAAAGAATGTATATTACTATAAACTAAAAAAACTTTGCTATTTTACATGGCATAAATATATTTTCTCACTGTATATTTTGATTAGCTGTAAACTAGATTGACATCTGTATATTTTGATTAGCTATAAACTAGATTGACACCTGTTATGCGCAGTAAGATTCATTGTTGTGTTTAACACCATTAACACAAATAATGTACTTAAACTTGTGATAAATGGTCCTGTTAAATTTGATTTGTTTTCTTTTTTTTCTTTTTTTTGCTTGAATGTGATTTGCTAGAGCTACTAGCTTTTTAAACGAAAACAATGTAAACTACTGTATAACAAAAATGATAATGTTGTGCCGTAAATTCGGGCATTCAGGCATGGGTGTTATTTCGAAAATCGTACCCTTAAAATAGCGCGCACCTCAAATGAATAAGCATCGGGTAATTAACGTGCTGTTCGGTAATATATCTGGTAATGGCTAATATACAGCAGTAAATCAGGCGTATATTGGGAATTAATACTTTATCTCGAAATAACGTATCCGAAATAACGCGCACGTAGTTAAAATCGGTCACTTCACTGACAGTTTAGTTCACCAAGCCAATCGAAACTAACTCACCAACAAGTTTATTTCACTGACAACTCATTTCACAGACAAAGTAAATTCTGATCATTGTCATTAGGGTCAGGCTATAATTAGGGTTAAGGTTAGTGTAATTTATAAAAAAAAGCTTGTTGGTAAAATTAACTTGTCGGTGAATTAATTGCAAATTGTCAGTGAACTAAGCTGTCGGTGAAGTCATAATACGTATATACATTTTATAATAGTGATTTACAATTTATATATCTTAAATAGAAATTTTTGAAATTTCTAAAATCCAAATTTGTAAAGTTTTAGACCAAATTTTCAAATGTCTAAAAACTAAAATTATCTTTACTAAATTAGATAAGATAATTTTTATTTGTATACTATGTGTAGATACATGGGTATTGTGGTTTCTCAAACATACTTAATAAAAGCTACTTTTGGAGTTCTAACACAAAATATTTCATGCAAAATTTTAGTATAACTATGCCTTTTCTAAGTTCTAAAACTTAATCTTAAACAGAGCTGAATTTGATTAATAAAAATTGCATATTATACGAATATGCAAATCATTAGTTAATACCCGCATACCTAAGGTAATATGTATGTTAGGGTGCGTAGGACTGCTAAAAAATCTTTCGTGCCCGATGGCAGCCACCTGCTTAAGTTCGTGCCAGGACACCACTATAGTATGCACTAAACCACATGATAATTGACACAATTTAGATTGGGCAGATATCAAAGCTAAAGGTGCATTTCGGAATCTTTTTCCAAATTTTCCTCTATGAGTAGATGCCTATTGACTATTTGAGTTTTTGAACCTTTGTGCCACTCACTCTGCATACTATGATCACATGACATACGTACATACGTATACAAAGCCGGTTAGCCATTACTTAAATGGATTACTAAGAAAAATATTATATATCAGCTGATATCGTAGGGTGGGAGAGAGGTACATAGGCAAAATCTCAGGTCTAAATATGGATAAGGTGCTGCAAAAAAGGAGAAAATTGGCAAATTTTTCATACATTTTGGCTTAAGACACAAAAGTAGTTGTATTAATAAAATTTTGCAGTATAACTTTTTGAAGGTTGTATTTTCTTATGATTTATTATAAGATTTATAACATAAACTAAAGATTTTTTCCCCTCTTTTGTATATAGCCAATCAGAACGACTAAATTTCTCTGATGTGGGTAGGGATAGTAAAAAACCGGTTTTACCGTTTTTTAAATTTTTTTAAATCATGTTTTAAAACATTAGTGATTTCAGAAATGAGATATGAAGCAAAAATCTACTATATCATTGGATAATTTTAACTTCTTCAATGATATTTATTTCCTAGATACGATAATCCTTATTCTCATAAACTACGCAATTATTTTGTAATTATCGTAACATAATTAAGTCACTTAATATTTGTTTTAAAACAATAAAAAAGTTTTAGACATTACACTTTTCATCCCTAAGTACATTCTATGGATTCAAAGAGTACAAACTGTAAACGGCTAATTTTTTAAATTAAGTCAGGTAACAGGAGGAACCGTCGATGTTACACGACTGATCCTTCACCCGGTGTGCAGCATAGAAAAAAATTAATTTACAATACCAGATCATTCCGTTAGTAATGTCATGGTTATAATTCAACATTTTTATTATAATGAAATGATGTTGGATTATAATCATAACATGTACTAGCTGTATTGTAAATTAATTTTTTTATATGCTGCACACCGGGTGAAGGATCAGTCTTGTAACATCGACGGTTCCTCCTGTTAAGTCAGCGATAAGAAAATGATATCTATTATTTTAGCCAATCAGATTAATCATGAACTATTTATGAATTTTTGGATCTGGACTCAATTGTTCTATGTTCAAAATTTTGGACAAATCTATGGATGTGAAACCTTATAAAGTGCGATTATATCATAATTACATAACGATAATTGATTCGTAATCAATAAGCAGGTGCCCCATTCTGCTTTTTTCATGGGTCCGGAATATTAAATTTTGTGATACAACTATAGAACAAAATAAAAAGTATATATCGAAATTCTGAATCTAAATATGTAATAAAATTATACTCACAATAAAACTGTACAAAAAACATTTTAGAATGACATTTTAAATCATATTGAGGCATTTTATGAAATGATGATAACAATTTGCATATTATTGATAAATATGTATTATCATGTCGTTTCAGATTGTAGAAAAAAATTTTTACAGCTTTGGCTGAAGTAAAAAAAAAAATTATTAGCTAATCTTATTTTGATCTTAATACAGTAAGTAATGACCTGCAAAATTTTCAGTGATATTAAATTGAACACAATTTCTGACAGGGTAACAGATAGAAGAATTTAGAATCATTTTTTTATGCACACTTCAAGCTCTTATAACTTGAAACCTTTTGCCTATACTGTATGAAAGAAGCTTCTGTTTCATAAAATTATAGTTTATGTAATTGATTTTCTCCGGTTGTCGTACGTACTTATTACGTATGTACTCTCAATACTCCGATAGTAAAAAATCGCTCTTTATTTGCAAAGAAATGGAAACCCGGAAAATACCAGATGATCGATTCGGATAGTTACTTTATCGTTATCTGAAGTAACCGTTTTAGGCATTTGAAGTCGCACCTGACTGGAATTAATTTTCTAAAGAAAAGCTACATACTTTAGACAGGTATCTATCTCAAATACGCACAACAATTATATCACGACAATGTTCATGAATGTAATATTATTAAATAGAATCAATGAACTACTTCGACTTCTATTCTTTATTTATCGTTTATGTGAATGATTTAATTGACATGAAGTATAACCATAAAACCTTTTTTCTTTTTTTAAATTTATCATTAATAAAACTAATTATTAATATAAATCCCGCGTTTGTAGATTTTCCGGAATACTGAACCTTCATTGTATTTATTACCATCGCTATGTTTATATAACGGTTTATAATTATCGTGTGATGTTATTTATAAATAGATTAAATTTAGTAAGATTTTAATTGTTCATATCATATATTTGAATAGGATGTTTAACAAATATTTGCTGCGACACGTCTTTTTTTAAATAAAGCGAGCAACAAATTATCTTCCTATACTTGATTTACCACTTATGTGAATAATTTAATTGTTTAATTTTATGAAACACAAACATTTAAAGAAAATAAGAACTCATAAAACCTTTTTCTTTTCTATAAAATACACAATATAATCACAATGCATTGATTATTGTTTTAAGCTGCGTATCCGCAATTTTTCAAAATGCCGAATTTGCTTTACATCAATTAATTTATCGGAGACATATTTTAAATAGCATTTTATCGCGTGATAATTATTTATAAAATTAATAAGAATATGAGCAGAATTTAATAGTTTACAGTATATATTATAATAGAGTTTCAAAACAATATTTGCTGCGACACATTGTATTTTTTAAATAAAAGGCGCCTGTTTTCCCTTCCATATCACATCAACGCTGAGACCTGATCAAATAACAGCGGATCGTTAAAATGAGTGACGACCTAACAGTTAAAAGAGTCATAAAACTTGTTCTTACAAAAGTTTGTACTCAAATGAACCTTAATGAAAAGGATAGTGAAGAATTAATCGAACACATTTCAAATAATCTTTCTCCTGAACAAAATACATATTTTACAAACTTAACTGCCGAACTAAATTCCCACAGGTGGCGAAATGATTACAATATAGAAGATATTATCCTTGATGGATGCGATTTTTCTACTGGCCTTACAGAAATGATAAAAGAATACATTGATAAAATCAAAAATTATGATTCATCGAATGTATTTATCAGAGGTGGCAGTTTCCCATGATTTTGTAAAAATTGGAGATTTGTATAGGCATTTTTTATGTTAGGATTTAATATAATTTAGGGTTATATTAGGATTTGGAATATAGAATATTTTACCGCACACCAATTAATTGGCTAAAGTGTAAACTATCCTATCTTATATATCAGTATATATTAAACCACTAATGTCCGACTGTCACTCTATCGACTAAACAGAATATTCCAACGTATTGCACAAGTGGCTGGTCCAACTAAAGATTTATGATAAAGTAAAACCTAGAATTTTCATTGGAGGACAAGAATGGCAAAATTGGCAAAGTTATTATATATTAAACTATCGATAAATTTGGCATAGTTTTTTCGTACTTGTGATGATTTGAATTATTATTTCGTTATTCAGTAATCACTTGAACTTTTATATTATTTTCGATAAATTTTTTTTTCTTTATTTTGTAATATTTGATATCAGTCATTTATTATAAGCAATCCCGTGTCAATGCATGATAAATTTCTTTTTTCTTCTTTTTTTGTTTTATTTTCGCCATATTAATATTTCGTATTTGTTATATTTTCTCCATGACTGTACTAATGCTAGAAAAGTATCATTGCAGTCAAGTGTAAAATCTGAATAAGCTATTATATGTATATGAAATCTTATTAAGTAAATCATCTGATTTCCTTTTAAAACATGAATTAATAAAATTAGGTAATAAAAAGTGAATATAATCACAAATATGATAAAATTCTTATTGAAGTGAATAAAGCAAATAGTTTTTGATACTTCAATTTATTTGGCTGGTGAAATTGACTTTTCAATAATTTTACGTGGGTTTTTCTAAAACCCACTTATACTTGTTTATTTTAGTATAAATTATCCGGCAAACTCTTATGATCATAGATTTATTTCTTGTTATTTTTTTCGTATTCGAATTAAACCTCAGTTAGCCAATCACGACTTGAGAATCATGATCACAATAATATTATGTTCATATTAACCCTAAAAAAATGCTAAAAACAATGCACCCTTATTTCATTTTGATATAATGTCATTTTAATCTGTCACATATAATTAGGAATTCATTTTCACCGGTTTAAAACATGTGATGTTTATGGTTTGAATTAGGTATGAGTCGGTTACGGTTATGACCGGTCATAACCGTAACCGATATCGGTCTGTCAAAGGTTTGTGACCGACCGGTTAAAATCGTAACCGATACTATTTTTAGCGATGTTAATTGATTCATTACAATGTTTGTTATTATATTACGTAATAATAAGCGATTTGAAAAACAATAAGTTTAAATTATTTTTTCTTGGTGTTAATCATATGTAGAGATGAACGCAATGCCATAATGGGTTGTAATTATAATGAATTATAACATTATTTGTTGTAATTCATTATAATAACAACTAATTACAGCATTTGCTTACATGCTCTAATATTTATAAATAAAATAATTTATCCGTCATCTTATTGCCAAATAACTAAGTTATTTGGCAATCTGATAATAGCAAGCTGACGGATAATACCTAGTGATGTGCCGCATACAGCACAGTACGCAAAAAAAAATTTAGAATATTCTAGAACAAATCATTAAAGTATCCCTATCTCAAAATTTTGATTATGAAACTGTCTTTCGCATTCTAACAAAAATTATTCCTTGCACAATGTTGCATATAATTGATTTATAAATGGTACATCTATTATGTGTATTACGTATGCTATACACACTATACAACTATACGTACTGTACGTACTGTACGCGAAAAAAAATCAGATATCATATAAATGGCACATCTATAATCACGTGCTTCCGGAATCACGTTTTACGGATCACAATATCGGCAAATATTCGGATAATTATCAAATAAAACACAAAGCAATCTTTTTTTTTGCTTTGGTATATTTTTTATATAAGCCCATGCTGCTATACACAAATATTTCACTAACCAACATGACTTAGGTACATTTCTTCATATAAGCCATACGCGCGCATGCAATGCTGAATAGATACATACAATATTTCATTCTCCAACATGGCTCAGTCTTTTCCAAAGTCTTAGAGAATTGAGCTTGAACTTCGTCTTTCTCCAGGGTTTCATTTTTTCCGGGGGTTTCGCCATTCGCCAGGGGTTTCGCCATTCGTCAAAGGTTTCGCCATTCGTTTTAGTTTCACCAGTTTCGTGTTTCGCCGGATTTAGGTTTCGTGTTTCATCATTTGCGAAAAACAGTTTCTCCTAATAACTATAGTTACGCTCATATTTCTTTGAGATCGATAAATTCTTAAACTTGATAGAATCTCTGATTCACACATGACATTGAGATCTGCGAAGGTCACATATTTTGCAAAGCGCAATACTTTTCAGCGGGAGAAATCCTACACCTGGTATACAGTACATAAAAAAATAATTTCATAATGATAGATCACTTAACCGCGAATTTTACCCATAATTTGGATCGGATATGTTTCTTTTGTTATAATTTTCAATGCAGGTCCAAATTACCCCGAAAATCAATAATAAAATTTCGAATTTCGGAGCGGCAATTGATCGGCATAAAAAATTGTGAAAAACATGCAAACCACCCGAAATTGTTAAAACATAAAGGACTTGATGATCTAAAAATTATATTTTTTTTGGACTCTTTCTACTACAAAGGCCCGTTCACTATATACTGTTTTTAATTGTTCTTTTCATAAATATAATGATATACGTATAGAGATCTTTTTCTTGAAAATCACATGACATTTCCCGATCGGGCAAAATAGACTAGAGATGGGCAAGGTAATCACCTATTGCAAGTATATATGATTAGAGAATCGTCGCATTGTTGATGTGACTTTTACGTAATAAGTAATTATTTCGCTCATCTCTAAAATAGACCAAACCGATTGTGATTTACGTATATATAAAATGCACAAACTGGTATTTTGATCTGTTTATCGCGATTTGCAAAATTATTGTCTCAAGGTGATGACATCACTCAACAATCGCAATTGCAATACAATCGTTCTAAAGTTTGTGCGAAGATATCTCCACTTGATTAATGTCAATGAATTTTTTTTTACTTGAATTCTATGGATTCATAAATTCAAATAAAAAAAAATTTCATTGAAATTAATCAAGTGGAGATATTTTCGCACAAACTTTAGAACGCAATGAATGATGATCATCACCCCTTGAGACAATAATTTGCAAATCGCGATAACGTCAATGAGTTAATCGACTCGATCAACTAAATTAAATAATCAGTTTTTATAATAAAAAATATACAAGCCATTTGAATCGATTAACATCTCTAGGTCTTTTTTTTTGTTTGAAGTCCCGATTTGGAAATGTCGCTTTTTTTTCAAGGCAAAGCCCATATGCTTTTAATTATGTATTACGCAGTCTGTCACGGATTAACATTTAGGCTATACTGTACTCATATTCTACGATAGGTCAATGTATAAAGAAAGATCAGAGTAAAATTAAAAACTTTACAAATTCTTGAATTCACAACTACTTGCATAATTCTCGGACAGCTAATAAAAATTAATCGGCAAAATTCGGTAATTTTTTGAATCCAATTTCGATAACACCGAATTCAAAATTTATCGAATTCGGTCAATCAAGTTTTTATCAGTTGTCCCAAAATTTATGAGAACAGCTGTAAAAAAAAACTGATTATGAAATTTATGTGACTTTATTGTTAAATTATTCGAGTGGCTAAAATTATATCCCATCTATGAGTGCAGATTTTCTCAACCATGTAAGCACTAATTTCTCTAATTGGACAATTGACAGTGTAGACTACGCCACCTTTATCTACCAATCAAATTATAAGATCAGGTGCAACCAAAATAAATTTAAAGTTTTTAAAGTTTTTCAAAAATCGCCGGTAACTTAATATTTTAGTTACAAACCCACCTTTCGTGTTCTAACAAAAAAAAATTCCTTGCAAAATTTTAGTAAAGTATTTGTTCTATTAGACCTTTATACTGTTCCAACGCATTTTCATTATTTGATCGAAAAGCAGGATTTTTTTTTCGTCCAATAGAAACTATGGGAAAATTAGTAAACCCGTACGTACCAAGGGAGACCCTATGTCATCCGATAGTTACAACAATTTTTTTTATACGTTTACAATATTTTTTTTAAAAAGCCCCATCGATAAAATGTGATGCTTTTACTTTACTTTATAATATATTTATTTAACCCCTCATCTTTTTTTTTTTGACTTGCAAAATTTACAATATGATTCCAACTACGTACCAGCATTCATATTATACTACATGGGTCTAAAAAAATCCCGCGCGTGCCCATCTCTAACTTATACGTATAGTAATTACAAAATATAAATATAATGCTTTTGAAAAATGGGTTTCAATCAATATGATACTAATTACAAAATGTTCAAAGTGTCTCTTTTAGTAACTTACTTGCTGTCCTTCCTCTTTATATTTACATGTCATTGTCTTGTAATTTCTGCCGATATTAACGATATTGACTATGTGATCCCACCATCTTTTTTAAATTATACTGATTTTGAAGTATATTGGGATTATCTCTATCCGTTCGTATTTTTTAACATGCACTACATTTTCTAATCAAATCTCTCACACTCAAACATTGGAATCATTAAATTGACTTCTTTGTTCTCTTTTTTTTTTGTAGGTGGGGTCATATCCATGTTGGTACAGCCTTCATGCGAGGCAATAGTTCTTTCCACCAAAATATTTATTTAGAGGATTCAGTTTTAACA